GACAGCAACTTGTCTGTTCCCCTTTCCCCAATTCCCCAGCACTGTTCCCATCCCCCCAATTCCCCAATAAAATAAAAATCTTTAAAAAAAAAAAAGAATTGGAATGCAGGTGAGTTTGAAGGAGAACTTCAACCATTTGCTCTCTACATTTTGAATTTTTCCACTGTGTTTTTATGTATTATTTTTTGAACAATGATAAATTAGAAGATTGAAAGATGTTGGATGGCTTGGTTGGAAGTGAGAAAGAGAGAGAGGGGGACAGGGAGAGGGAGAAAGAGAGAGAGATAGAGAGGAAAGGGGAGAGAGGAAGGGAGGGAGGGTGGGAGGGAGAAAGGAGGAGGAAGGAAGGAAGGAAGGAAGGAAGGAAGGAAGGAGGGGAGAGAGAGAGAGAGAGAGAGAGAGAGAGAGAGAGAGGGAGAGAGAGAGAGAGAGAGAGAGAGAGAAAGAGAAAGAGAGACAGAGAGAGAGACAAAGTATTCTTGCCAGGAACACTATGTCTTTGCTTTAAGACTCTTTAAGAAAGAATAGGTATTTGGGACACCAGAGCAGAAGAGGGGGCTCACTTACCAGTGGCCTCAGGAAGGTGTCCTTGGGAGAAGAGCCAACCTTCAAGGTACCAAGGTAGAAGGCAGGGCCCAGAAAGTTATTTGGGACGGGCCTCCAGGTGGCAGAGCGGAGTCTGGAAGAAGGGCCAAGCCTTGAGGGAGAGGAAAGCCCCTTCCCAATTCTAGTCCCAATATTGACCCCTGATTTCCATGCAGGGACTAGGATTCAGTTTCAGTGGGACATATCAGACTGGAAGCATTAAAATGAGAATGAGGAGACTTGTTCTAGGGTTCTAGTCCTGATTCCAAAGTTCTCTATAATCCTGAGCAAATCAATTCAGTTCTCTGAATCTTAGGCTCTTCATCTGCACAGTGAAGAGTTTGAAATCTCTGAGTTCCCTGATCCCTCAAAGTGTCCAGTGGGAGTAAGTAGGAACATACCTCTCAAAGAAGTTCATTTTCATTTCCAGAGAATAGATAGTGTAACGCTCCAAGGGAATATTATTGATGGTAACAGATCCAGTTAATCCTGCAGATGGGAAGTCGAAAAGAGAATGTGGTCAGGGACTGGATATTCTCAGTGTGTGGGACAAAGAAATGCAGACTGTATATACCTTGAGCTCAGTCATGAGGGCAAACACTGACTTGCTATGACTGAAGGTTTCTTGTTGTATGTTTCCATACTACTGAGGAAGTACCTCACTTAGTATCAGAGCTCCTCCTGAAATTCCCAAAAGGAGACTGGGCCTGCTCCAGGACAAGCCAGCGCCGAGCATAACTGCTTCACTTTCCTACTCTGGAGAACTGGAGAAGGCAGGACAAGGAAGAGGGCAAGAGTCTGCATCTTGGGTCCTAGGACCTAAGTCTCTCACTGCCTGAGCAGCTCAATTATTTCCTCCTAACTCCAACATAGCCCCAGTGTTAGGGTCCAAGCAACCATGAAAAGAGATTACAGCCCGATTCTCAGGCCTAGAGCCTGCCTACCTTTTTGCTGACCTTGAATTTTCCATGAAAAATTGACTCGTCCTTGATTTTCCACCAGGATCCTTAGAAGTTGACATTCCTGTTTGAGACAGACCAACTCATGGAAACTACATGGTCATTCAGCATTTTTACTCTAGAATCCATTCTTTTCTCTGAGTCCCAGATGGAAAGACAAGCAAATGGGAGACAAGGAAACTCCAGAGCCCAGCAGTCCTCTCTCTTTCTTAAGGACCCTATGTGTTCTTGTTTCACACTGTCTCCCCTTTCTTCTTCTGCTCTGCGTTAGGAAAGGCACAGAGACTGCTGGGCCTTTGATCAGAGACCTGACCAGCGCCTGATGGTTGACTCAGGGATTAATGGGGAAATTTCATTCACACTGAAGCATGTATACTGCAGCTCTTGACGTACCTGGGCCTGGTAGATGCAGTTATGCTTATAGCTAACTTATAGCTAAACAAACACTTCCTGCTGGGACCCTAAGTGAGAAAAATACCAAAGGGCAGTAGTAGAGAATGGAGGTGGTCAATATCAGGACCAGGCTGTGTTTGCATTTGAGTTGGAGGTCTAGGGCAGTATCTAGACTCTTGAAATACATACCCTGACTTCAGGAATGTCCAAGTTCTGATTACTATCACTCAGAATTCCTATACTTGTCTCATTCAAAAACACCTGCAAAAGAAGAGCTGGTGTCAGATGGTAGGTCCACCTGAAGAAAGGGAGAAGGGAGGTTCTGGTTTAGGGAGGAGGTCATTACGAAGAAAGGGGCCAGCCTTCGTGCTCACAGATAGCTAGAAGCTAACAGGGAGGTCCCAATAGACTTAGGTTGCAATAAAGCAGAAAGCAAGTCTCTCTGGTTTGACTTTCTATTCCCAACGCTTCACACATAGTAGGTGCTTAAAAATACTATCAAATAGTAAAGTTGACCAGTGACTAACTACCCTCCCCAATAGCAGAGTTAGGCTAAATGTTCTGCTTACCTCCATCGACAGCCTGCTGACACCTACCTGTGCTGTATCTTGAACATCAGCATGGAGCTCACCTCCAGAGCAGATGGGAGTCTCGTACAGTATGAATCCATAGGACTGACCATTTCCATCATTTATGGGAAGATTCTCCATGTTGACTGGTTTATTAGATATGACTGGCTGTGAGACATGGTCAGAAACAGGAGCCAGGGTGATGAGAACACAGGATCCAGCATCCTAAGACACTTGTCATTTTTTTGTTGTACTGCCTAATGGTCCCCAGGGGTTCTCTGGATGAGAAATACTAAAACAGATGCTATGTGATGATGCTCTTGAGCTTTATATCTCCACTGAGCAGGGAACTCAGGGGACAGTGAGGGCATGGTAGAGGGAACAATTGCTGTAATCATGAGAATTAACAGAGTAAATAAGTTGTGTTCTAACACAACTGAAGTAAAGAATTATGCACTAAGAAAACCTTTATTTAGCATCTACAATGTGTCAAGCATATTTTTTATCTAAAATAGTGACAGTGAAGGTAAAACCAAAATGAATTCAAGAGTTGACATTTTTCAAACAATATCACCCTTTTCTTCAAAATAGGACAGGTAGTCTAATTTTAAAGGGAGAGCAGGGACCTGTAGAAGTTCAGTGATTTGGCCTAATTGATGGTGAAGAAGAGTCAGAAACTCAGTTTCATGGGTTCCTAGCTCAGCAGCCTTTCCCATACGGATCATGCTGTTCCCCACAACAGCATTTGCCAGATGGGTTCATCTGAGTTGGGAAAAAGGATCCTCTACTATCCTGCGTCTCTCCCAACCTCCACCCATTCTTCAAGTTCAAATCCCTTCACAGTCCACCCAGAAGGAGCTTGCAGGCCTTGCCCCACAGTTCTAAATTGGGACAAAATGCAGAGGATTAGCTTTCACACTTCCAATAAAAATCTCTTGAAATAATCTCTACTCTGTGGCCTAAGGCTTTCTCCCCCATGTCTTCAACGGCCATCCCCATTCCAGTGCCCAGGCAGTACTCACCTCATTTAAGTACTTTAGTACATCCCATAGTGGCAAGTAAAGGGATGGTCTCACAGAAGGATACACAGCCTTGGGAGTGAGCTCAGGTAAGGGGGGCAGGGGAAACGCTGCAATGAAAATGGGCCATGGGGCCAGAAGTACCTGCAGTAACCACTGCTTTCTCCAAGCCTCCCCACCCCTATCCATGAACTCTCATATCCCAGAGCTAGGAAGAGAAATGGCTCCTATCCTATACATCTCCAAGTGTGATGAAAACCTGCCAAGACCTAAGTTGGAGCTGTTTTGTATGCACAGATAGCTCATGGATACAGACTCCAAAAAGGTAATGTTAGTCATACAGACTAAGGGCTCTTAGGGAGCAAGAATTCAGCCTTATACCTTTTGCAATGCTGGTGCTTACTGACTTTCTAGTACACAGTGGATGGTTAATTAACTTTATTTAAATAAATAAAATTAAAACACGATGATTTTTGTTATTGTATATGAGGGTGTTAGGTGATATATCATACTAAGAGCTTTACAAATATAATAGTAACTTAATTTTCACAATCATTATAGGTGATGCGTATCATTGTCTTCATGTTTTGGGGAAGAAACTGACGCTTAAAGGACTTAAAAACACCCATGCAAAACCACCCAGCTTTTAAGTGGGAAAACAAGGATTTGAACTTAAGTTGCCCTTGTTCTTAAGCACTTTATTAAGCTTCTGCCCATAGGGAAAATCCTTCCCTTTCCTCACCCTTCCACTTCATGGGTATAGCCAGCCCTCAGGTTAAAATGGTTGCTTAGTACCTAAAATGGATCCAAAGAGTTTTCGAAGCTTGAAATATTTGTTTGTGTAATCCCCGGCCTCGGTCAGCACAGCATCATAGTCTGCAAGACACCAGGGCACAGTTACTGGCCAGGCAATCCTCCACAACAGGCCCTGTTTCAGCACTTCTGGCATGAGATGGACCGGAGCCATCAGAGGGAAACAAAAGACACATCTTCCCCGCCCCCTGGCCAGGTCCATCCCAGGCCAGGGTGTGAGAAACTAATGCCAACCTAGGAAGGTTCCCCACAACATTTCCTGGGGACCTGAGGCTGCCATGACACTGGGCTCATTCTATTTCTCTTTCTAATGGACATTCTCTTCTTTCCTCAATCTGGTTTGCCCATCAGTGCCTGTGTAGCAATCACCATTTGAAACCTGTCTCTCTTGGAAGGTTCAAGTCAAGAGGTCAGTGTACATGATGAGTGAAGCAGAGCTTTAGGTCACAGGCAGCCCCATCTACTGCAATGACAGCCTGTTGGGAGCATTATGAACATCACAGAAGAAAGGAAAATAAATAGGAAAACCCTCAATGCTCAGCATAGATTATAGGTCAAGAACCCAGTGATGCCAGAATATGCTTTTGGAGCTTCCTCTGTTAAGCTCCAGCACAACCTACTCTGGGAGGTGACCATACCAGCAAACACTTACCATAGCTAGTGACGACACCTCTGTGCTTCCCAAAATTTATGGCCCCGTTCATGAAACCAAAGTTGGTTCCACCATGGAACATATACACATTGAAGGAAATCTCAAATTTGATAAATTTCGACACAGTTTTTACAACATCTGTAGAGGAGGAAGATCAGAACATAGAGAAAATTAAAAATTAATAGCAGATGAAAGTCTGTGGTGAAATCTTATCATTCTCAACCCCAACCCACAATCAACTTAATTGTTTTGTCCTTCAACCCCTGCTAAGATTCTAACCAGAAAATAGGTGGAATTGGCCAGAGCTACTCTAGGAAACAACGTCTTGTTTCCCAGAGCCTTTTTAGAAAATTATTTTTCTTGGAGTATGGACATAATTGGACTCTAAACTACACATATTAAACAATAGCCTAAGAAATCTTATGTCACTTAAATATCTATTGTTTGTTACAGTTTTTGAAATGGTACAAATAATTAGTATACCATCATTACTAATATTTTTGGGGACACTGGTTTGGAACCTCTGCAATAGTC